CTGGCCAGGACTATGTGCTACAGAGGACAGGAGTAACAGCTGCTGAGTCCTCCCTGCATACCACATGGTTGGTGATGGCAGCTGGCTTTTGGAAAGGTCTTTTATTCAGCAATAACTGTGGTGCTGTGTTTTGCCTCAGCATCCTGCTTCACCTTTCATAAATCTTAAGTAAGGCTGCCCATTGTCTTTTCTTGGTTTGGAGTGCCTTGGCTAGAATATAATAATGTGAAGAGGAATGGCACACGCAACACACTGTAATCTCATTTTCTCCCTCTCGTTACTGAAGTGCAGGGCTGCTTCTGAGAAGTCAACTGTACTGTGGCCATTTGGAGCTGAGGCTTCCTGGGCTGGGTGTAAACAACATGTTTCTTAGCATCTACCCACTTTATTGCTGTCAGTCACATGTTTATCTATACATGCTGCTCTTTAAAGTCTTGCTCGATTATTTCTTCTGCTGTTTCATACATGTACATTTCTATTCGTACTTCATTTGCAGCAGTTTTAGCCTTTCTTCTACATATTTTTGTACCAAATATAAAAACTGCTTTGCATGTTCTTATCTTGAGGCTGTTACATATTCAGCCTCTATTTTTTTTCCCTGCTCTGTTGCCCCCTTTCTCCCTCTCCTGGCTTGCAAACATTAGATGGCCCAAATCTTACATGTTTGTGTCTTGATGGAGGGATTTGTCAAACATTCTTCTCTTGGAGGAAAAAATAAGCGAGAGAGTATGAGGAGTTTCGCAGTGCACCAGGTGTAGGAGCTAAGAAATGGCAAGTACTGATCTTCGTCTCCATGACAGCAATGATTAAATGTTACTTTTTTATCAGTTTGTGAATATATATTTTCACAGTCTCTTTCCAGACAGCGTGAGCTCGGAGGTGGTAAGTTTTCCAGCTTGTCCTTTGCGTAGGATCCTGGAAGGAAAGCCAGGCTGGCTAGTAAGCCCAGGGCAGGGTGGGACAGCTGAGCTCAGGTTAGCGATGGCATCTGTGCAGACCACTGTGGGGTGTATTAGTGACTTACAAAACCAAGATGCTGATTTGAAATCAACCGTGTATGTGAGGAATAATGTGTGAAATGTATTTCTGTACTTGCAGTACTGTAAACATGGAGGATGCTAAAGCCTTCTAATAAATCAGATAAAAGGTTGTATAAAAATAACAAAGGCAAGGAGATCAGCAATATGTTCTCTGATGTAACCTACTGGTGTCCTCTAACCAGAGAAATCTGCATTAGAGAGGTAACATTTGCCTCCCATAAAGACAGCTCCAAGGAGCCTGTGTTTTCCTGCAGTGATTGTATCAGAGTCTTTTGGAATGAATAATTCAGCACAAAGTACACTAGAAGACGAAAAAAATCTGCAGTAATTGTTGGGCATCTATTTAACGCTATTGAACTAGTCAGGCATCTCCTCTGTGTATTATAAATCTTCTCATGTCAAGCTCTAGTAATTCATAAAGTGCTTTAGTAGCTGAAAACTGGCATGAACTCTGAAACAGAAGTAATTCATGTTATATTATTTTTTTCTGTGTACTACTTTTACAATGTAAGCTTTAAGCTCTCCTCTATCTCTACTGTCAGCTTGAAAAGGATGGAGCTGAAAATAAGGAATTTTGAGTGGGATTTTTAACTGAGAGGTAAATGTGATAGCAACATATGTGGCACTTGGGGCATGCAGAAGGACACTGTTCAGCTGGGAGGCTAGGGGGTAACAACTGTTAATACCAACATGGGAGACATTTAAGTAAAACATTTCAGTGTGGGTAGCATTTCAAATGGATGGGCAGATCTGGAGTAAAAGTTACACAGGTGTTGTTGAAAGGTGTCATGTCCATCTAGGACAACAAACCCAAGAAACCATCATGGTTGTTTCACTGCACTGGAGTATAACGTGGGCTCGGGCTGGGAAGCTCTACTCCAGGCATAGCTGTTGAGGTGTGCAGGCTTTCCCAGCTATGATTGCAGTGACAGGAAGATGGGGTTGTTTCCTGCTCTCAGATCTTCAGGATCCACTTGTAAACCTTCACCAGTGACAGAGACCTAGTTGAGAAATATTTGAGGAGGGCATGTGGTGCTGGGAATGAGTACCCACGTGAGCAGCACTTTGGTTGAGTGCGAGCTTGCAAAGAGGGAGGGGACAGAAAGTCATTTTGTCCCACTGAAGCTGGGGACATGCTGTGGTATAATTATCTGAAATGGAGACATACCATTGTGAGTCTCTTCCTGAACAAAATGCTTCCTGAAATGAATTTAACCCTTTTTTAACATTACCAAATCTCAAGAATAATCTGAAGTACTCTACAATTTAAAAAAAAACTTGGCAAGTAGAGATTAAATTTAAATTTTAGGTTCTAATTACGTTTAAAATTCTGGGGTAAAACAAGAAATGCTGTCATCATTTACTTAAAATATGCCTTCAGCAACATTACAGAATCAATGTTACTTCTACTCTTGATTAATATATATAATTAATGAAAGATTCATTCATATGAATTTGTGAATTCACTTTGTCCTTGTTTGTATTTTCTGCCTGTATTTCCTTCATCTTTAACCTTAGTCTTTGTGTCAGAGAAATGAGTTTATTTGTGTAAATGGGAAAACTCACACTCATTTGAAAAAGCATTTGTCTAAGGCAGAGCTGTGCTACCCTCGGAACAGGTTACGTGGGTAGCTGAGAAGGCAAAAAGCAATTCTGAAAAAAGAAAACTTTGCATTGGGGGACTATGTGTGTGTTGGAACAGATGGATCTCCTTCCCGCTTGCGTCTACTGACATTGCTGCCTGGCTGGAGAGGCGGCTCGGTGTGTCTCTGGCTGGGAGGGATGGCGATTTTTTGACACTGCTCTTAAATTCTGTATTGTCACATATTTCCAAGTGTCTGGGGAATTGTGTGTCTCAGACTTACTGCTTTGGTCTCCTCCTTTCATCACTCCTCTAGCTGCAGTTTACCATGTTTCGCATGCCCAAGTCTCCCCATTTCTGATTTGTGCTGCTTGACCCGGTTTTGCCTGGGAACATGATGTAAAATGCGTGGAGGCGCGGTTGCCTAGTGAAGTGGTGTGCCTTCAATCAGACAACAGGCTGCAGACCTGCCCTTTGGTCCTTGTTTTGCTGAGTTTGCCTAGTACATCTGGTTGCTGCAACCACCCTTTGCTCTGGAGAAATAGGCTTTGAGAACAAACTGTAGAAATGCACCTCATAATGAAATTAATAGTTGACTCATGTTTATGGACTATCCTTCTTTTTAGCAGAAACAGGTTAATCAGGCAAGATTGTTCTCTGTGTGTCGCTTTGGAAGGGGCTGGTGGGATGGAAGGTGAGAGCCCTGCTCAGCTCTTCCTCTGCACTGTGAGTGAGGGGGAAACTGCAAAACAAGGGTGAATTCCACAGGGAAGGGTGCTGCAGAGGTTGTGCATGTGATGGAGAGCCCACAAAGCTGAGCTCCAGGCCAGGGTTTCTTCCAGCTTTCCCACCTCACAAATGTGTGTTGGATTAAAATTCAAAGGCCTGTGAAGTGACATGGGACCTTCAAATGCAGGTGCTTTGAGAGAGGTATTTTACCACATTGGTGTTTCAGTCAGTCACTGAACATTGTAAGTCTGATATAATTTAAAAAACAACCAAGTTTCATACACGAATTACTTCAGGTTTGAGATTGCTGTTACCAGAAATAAATATGCCTAAGCCTTTGTCTTCCTGCAGGGGGCTGTTATCACATAGCACCATTCTATTTTTCTGGCTTTATCTCTCAATTAACTAATCTCTAATAATGCTTGCTTTTTCTTCCTTTCTTTTTTTTTTTTTTTTTAAATAAGCATTTGTGATCTGTCCCCATTTTACCTTGATTAAGGTAAGAGCAATGGGATTTTTTTACAAAACAAGTCAGGTGGAAGTAGTTAACTGTTTTGCTGGGATTCCTTTTCTTTATATCAGCCTTGAAAAAATCTTCCCTGGCCATTAGCTAGGAACTGTTCAGTGCTTACAAGCTCGATATAGCATTCCCATGCTCTTTGCTAAGCTGCACAGATGCATTTGTCTGGTATTATAAAATGTCCCAGCTCATGTAATGCATAGAGGCTAATCTTATCAATTGTATTAAGGTTACTTAGGAATTAATAGCTTTAAGGAAGCTGTTTATATTTTCTCCTTTAAAGCACTTTATTGTGTTCTGTGTACCTTCAGATAAATGTCACCAGTAAAATAGTGTGCTTCTCATCTCTTTAAAAAAAAAAAACCCAAACAATTCTTAAAAGGTGATGCTTCAAGGCCTTGGTCTGGCTCTTGGATCTGGGTACTTGGATTTAAACCGGTAATCCGTATGGAGGTACCTAAAAAGAAGTGGCCTGGTTTGTATGAAATAAGCTCACATCCTCCCGAAGTTTGTTAGTTTGAAAATCAGGGCATGGCTCTGGAAGTTGTTGGATTGCTGCAAGCAGATTTGACTACACAAGCTTTAGACTTAAATTTAAAATAACAACAATTCTTTATTTTGAATGTGTGTTGCAAGTTAGATTTAAATGGGGAGAAAAATGAGGTTATAAACCCAATTTAGCTTTTTGACAAAGGTCGTGAAGATGACGGTGGTTTCACTCGTTGAGTATGTCTAGAAGTTAAGGCCTGTGAAGATGTTTTAATTCCTATGTACCACAAGACAATACTACTAAAATAGTCCAGCAAATTGTGTTTCTAGTAAGAGGCAAGTGATTTAAGGGTCTGCTTGCTCATCCTGAGCTTAGCTGGGCACATGAGAAGAGGAAGGTTTGCTGTCTCTCGGAGCATTATATAGAGTGGGGGAAGAGCCCCACCTGAAACACATAAAGCGGGTCCAAAAAAATGAATTCAGAAGTGAAGTCAGCAGTAACGCAAATCAAAGAAATCCGTATTAAATTGTATATATTTAAACATTTTCTTTAAAGAGTTCTTTACTTGCAATAGAATTTTTAATACCTAAATTTACATTTGCAGGCAGCAGAGATAGCTTTATCTAGAACAGCATTTATGAAGTCACAAGAAAGTGTATGTAAGATTGGGTGAATGGTATATTACAGATAATATTTTACAAAGCAGTCATATTACAATAATGTAGTAATTATAAGATGTTACAAAGATTTTCATTAACCAGGAGGCTTTATTTTAGACAGCATTAGCATATACATTACTTGTTCTTATGTTTATAAAGCCCTGATTCCAGTACTATTCTTCATAAACCTGTCTCAGATGGTGTCTCTACCTGCCTAATACCGTGAGACTCTTGCTCTGGGAACTCGTTTCTCCAATGTGGCGTTGAAAGAGTAATTTGACAATTTGTTATGTCGCTCTAGCAATAGACTGGAAAAAAAAAAAAAAAATAGAGGCCACAAATAATTGGAGAGTCATCTCTAAATCAATGGCCTAAACCAGATTTCTAGGGCAGCAATAAATCTAGATCTCTTTGAAAAAATCAGATGTCATCACGTAACTGGTATAAATCACAGCACACTGAAGCCTCACAAGGAAAAACTGTAATTAATCCTTGTAATGCAGCTCCTATCCATATGTGACTCCTCTGAAAAGCTCTTCTCTGATATATGTGGCCACATCATTCTCCATCCACAATCCTGTTCTTCTCTAATGGACCAACTGAGAGGAGCAGCCAGTTGTAGCAATCTCTTACTGAGAAGAAAGGAGTTGGTTCGGTTTGTACAGTTCTGCCATGCAGAGTATCCCTCAGTAAAGCAATAGATGATAGGCTGTGGTGAGTAGCAAGTTGGCTTTTATGTTAGTGCCCTTGTTCTAGTCAGTCTTGTGCACAAAAGAAGAGGGTTGACCTCTTAATTAATTATTGTAACTGGTGTTAAAAGCTTTGACCAGCTTTGAAAAAGTGAAAGGTTGCCACAAATACCTGTCAAAATCAAACCTTAGGGGCAGATGGCCTGAAACAGCCTGGCCCTTGAGATGCAGACTATGGCTTGAAGTATGGACATGTCCCTACCTCTCCTGCTGTCAACTGGTCTGTCCATCCTAGAAGGAGTTTGAACAAAAGCTGGAGGAGCTGAGTGCTGCTGGGGCAAGTGCACAAGTGATGAAGAATGAAAACTAACCGGCTGCGCTATGATTAGGCAGCTGCAGACATGGCTTCATTTGAAGACTGGAAGGTGGAAGGGACCTGCTGAGAAAACTCTCCCAGGTACACTGCAGAGTAGAGCTTTTGCCCAGATGGGGTAAAAAAAAAAAAAAAAAAAAAAAAAATTTTTGCAGGAGGTTGGGGCTTGCTCCCAGGTTTATTGCCCTTTAGCTGAAATTATCTAGCAGCTGCATGATGCTCTGTTTCCTTACTAGAGGCCACACACCACAGCAAACTCTTTCCATGACTTATTCCAACTTTGTATATGAGGAAGGGTCCCCCAGCTATGACAATATGTTTGGAGAAATGCAGCATATGCAAAATTTGCCTTCCCTTTGACTTAAAAGGTATAATGAAGGGTACCCTATCACTGATAATGAAAAATAAAGCTTGTAAAATTTGCACACTGGGGGCTGATTTAAACTTTCTTTTCCCTGGCCTCAAAGTTTGAGGCTTGATGTACTTGCAGATGAATGGTATCCATTTGCTAGGATGCTGGAAAACATTTAAAGTGTTAGTTCTAAGTAGCCTTTTTTTTTTTTTTTTTTTTTTTTTTTTTTTAAAATTCTTGTTTTAAAAATAATTGGGCATGAATATTGTGGAGCAAGCTATGAGATTACGTACTTTTTAAAATGTTCAGAATAACTGTAGCTGCCACATGCTCATAGCATTGATTCCACCTACTACAAGTGGAATTTTCTAAGCTTCTGCTTGTTTAAATACAAGGTGAAGCGTAAGTCTACAACATACTAATTCAAGATATACAGGCTGAAAAAAACCCTGAGAAACAAAACCCATAAATCTTACCTTAATGTTGTTTTCATGATACTTGTGCTGTTTCATTAAATTACATTTTTTGCTTAGTACATAAATTCTCAGCATAAGTTTACATTTTGTTCTATGTACATCTTAAGAATAGAGCAGAAAATACCATTGCTTAGCACGTTAACAAAAATCACATTATATGAGAGGTTTGTCAAAATAACTGTATACTAAGTTATGTACAATTCTGGAAATACTTCTTCCTTTGAGTTCTAAGATGTTACTCCCCAGAAAACCAATCTGTTTGCCTTCTAAAGTTGAAGCATGCTGATAAAGCAACGTGAGCAAAAAATATTAACTTTTCAAATTTCACTTTTAATTTCAAAATAAGATGGAATGGCTCACTGTGTGATGCCAGCAATTTTATTTTGTTTTTTTAAACTAACTGTCCCTGATAAGGGTACACATGAATATTGCAAGTCCTAGAGGGGTCATTTTCCCAAGAAGATATTAATATGGTGTACTGACATTGTGGATAAATGTATTATCCCAAGGTGCACTATGTTGTATACTCCCATACACAAAAAAAAAAAAAAAAAAAAAAAAAAAAATACATAGCTATGTGTGTTCTGATGGTTGATACATAGCTTTTAAAACAGATATTCACAATTCTCAGTTTTTTTAAATTCCTCTCTGATAAAAAGTCCACATCAATTAGTAGCTCAACTGACCGTTGTGACAGCTGGCGTCTTCCCAGCTTCCCCTCCTTCGGCCCCTTCGGCGTCTGCTTCCACCTGATTGAACTTACCAATCTTTTTCAAATTCTCCAGCGCATACTTCAAAGTGTCCTTCAGGCTGTTCTCCAGGATCCACCCTTCGCTTTCACATTCAGGGTCTTCAGGATTTGGAATGCTTTCCAGAGAGGTGTGCAGAAGACGCAAGCCAACTGTCACGGACATCTGTGCCATGCAATGGAAAAGACAGAGTGTCAGGCAAACCTTTATACCTTTGTCTGCATCTTCATTGTCCTCTGCTATCAGCAGCCTGGGCTGGTGATGTGAATAAAATGCCAAAGGCACGAAACAGATACAGCTTAAGGGCTGTGAGAATCCTCCACAGGAGAGGAGATCCTGAGCTGCCTTCCTGCTTTGAGGTGGCCAGGAGAGGTGAGGGGGATCTGGCAGGAGGAAAATGTCCCTTCACAAGTAGGGAAGGAGAGGGTGGAGGTCTGAAATCAGTGAGCACCACAGGAAGCGTGACAGTTGATAAGCAATGAGTGGATGCATCAACTGATGAAGGATGCATGTGATGAAGGAAGCACAGCAGCTTTGTGTGGCCATGTGCACAAGGTGCCTTTCCATGTACCCCATCACAGGGGCGGCACCTTCTGGGAGATTTTAATGAAACTTTTTCTCCTGTGCACTAGATGTCCATAAAGCTGTATGTGCCACAACATCCTCTGCCACCACTCAGTTTTAACTCTAAATATTTTTGCATTACATTGACCTTAATATGTTTGGCAAGTATATTAATCTGATCAAGGAAATATTCATGAGTGTGCAGAACTGAGCCATATTAGGATTTAAACCATCCGCTTGTCTATTTCAACTTCTGGTTTTGTTTTTATATAGATATGTGTAAACAGGGAAATCAAGGCAGCAGGTGATCTGTATCTCCTACTGGTTCCATCTAAACCAAATTTCTATTTCTGTCAGGCCCAGCAACACTCAATTAGACTTTTTCTACTGCATTACGCTGATGTAACACCCCAAATGTGCCTCCAGAGAGAAATAATGTTTTTAGCTAGTCTCCTGCTTTCTAACACCATGCAGAACAATCTGAGTTCCACCATTGTGGTGTTTATGAAGGAAAGTGATTCATATGTGAAGCAGAGAAAGAAAGAAAAGACAATGCCAAGAAGAGACAGCTTGATGAGATGGTAGAGCAGGTGGTCAGGATGGGGCAGCAGTTAAGACTAGTTTGGCCTTTCATGTGCTAGGTAAAGTTAAGATTGAGACCACTTATTGTTGTTAGCAACCTCATAGGATTTGTTCTGTAAGGGAAGTAAACCACCTCTGTTATCCTACCCAAATTGCCAAGAAAGTGATTACCTTTGGTGTTCCTGAACGCTAATGGCTAAAGAGGTCAGCATCCCTGTGTGTTGCTTATCCCGTGGCACAGCTGAGGCCCATGGAGAGCTGCCCTGGACCTGCAAGGTACTGCTCTTTGTTGAGGTTTTTGAACTAGAGATGGAGGAAGCTTGTAAACTGTCATGTAGGATTACGGCATCATGTAGCTGGCCAGATCTGAAGTTAGGATTCAGCCACATAGCATGGCCGATGGAAAAATTCACATCTGGCTTTTGGACTCATGGAACTGCTCAAGCATGTGCTGCTGTGGACCATTCATTAGTCTGCTTACCATGGTCATCCTGCCTGTGTATGATCAGTGTCTCCAAACTATTGGAAGACTAAAGCTACCATTGGTTAGTCCCAGAATTTTCAGATGTTCATGTTTCTCTGTCTTCATTCAAGACCACAAAGGGAAAAACATTGGTCAAACAAGCAAGCTTCATCAAATACTTCCATATTCAAAGAATGTCCATACCCATATTCTGTTTAACTCGCAACACCTTGGTCCTTAAAGAATTTTACTATTTGGTAAATTAGTCTATCTTCCTACATGATAGCACAGAGCCTTGGGCCATCAGTTTTGGTGAAGTCCTGCACCAGGAAAGGAACAACCCCATGCACCGTTATATGCTGGGGGTGACTGACTGAAAGCAGCTTGGTAGTAAAGGGCATTAGGGTCCTCGTGGCCACTAAGTTGAACACGAGCCAGCTTGTGGCAAAGGTGGTGAATGGTATCCATGAGCACAAATTGAAATGCAGGAACTTCTGTTTGAATATCAGGAAACACTTTTTCACTGTGAGGCTGACTGAGCACTGACACATGTTGCCCAGAAAAGTGTTGGAGTCTCCATCCTTGGAGATATTCAAAAGCTGTCTTAGATGTGGTCCTGGGAAACCAGCTCCAGGTGGCCCTGCTTGAGCAGGTTGTTGTGGACAAGATGACCTCCAGACTCCCTTCCAACCTCAACCAGTTTCTGACTTTGAGTTGTAGACTTGTGCTTAATCACAACCTAGCAGAGAAGGCCTGAGTATCAAGGTCTCACAGCTAGCCCAGTCTCGCTGATTGATGATGTCCTCTAGCCAATAGACAAACTGTTATGAAAACCCTTGTCATTTTATAGCGACTTCAAAGTGGCAGGAAAAACAAGGCTGCGGTGTTTCTCCAGGGCTGGGTATGGCCAGGCGGGGCTGGTGCATCCCTCTGCACCACAGCATGCTCAGCCCCTCGATCTATGCCAGCAGAGCAAACTGTCTTTCTGGACAGTCCCTGCTGCTTATGGGCTGGTTTTGAAGATTATGAGGAGTTCACTCCTAGTATTCAGTGCATCAGAGTTTACTCTCCAGCACATGATGTGCAATGAACTTCCCGCTCACGTTTGATCGCTCTCCTGGGTTCCTACCTCCTGGAGCTCAGTGCTGGGCTCCCTCAGTGGCACCACACGAGATGAATCTCAGGGTATCAGCCATTGCAGTACCTGTGACCTATCAAGAGCCATGTATTTATACAGGAGAAGGACCTGGAGCATCTCAGGAACCAGCTACTGCTCTCCCTTCCTTTTGAAATGCTTTAATCAGGTCAACCTCGAACCCCCCATTTCCTCTTTGCTGGCTGAGGCAGGTCAAGAAGACAGCACTGCTTGCTCTGCTTGGCCTTCTGCAGAGAAGCCCATATGTTTGCTAGGGTTTAGCCTGAGGCAGGTGAGCTAGAGCAGGGTGTGATGTTTTTTCACCCTCATGACTGGTTGTCATTCATGGGAAGCCTACAGCTTTTGCTAGTAAAAGCAGTATGTGGATAATTATACATTTCCAGAAAATATGACATGCTACATTTTTTTTCAAATAGAAGTTTTGATATGTCAGAATAGGTTCATTTTTCCTTGCACCTAATACAGAAACACTAAACCTAAACATCCTTCCCTGAGGTCCCTACAACCATTTGGCACGTTACGTTTTTCTACAGCTCAAGGTAACAACAGCAATTAGCATTTTCCTCGATGCTCTGTCCCCCTTCCCACACCTCAGTACTACCCACCCAGCTGGAAGAGTCCTCTGTCAGCCCCCAAGAAGGGTTTTGCTAGGGAGACGCTGTGGCCGAGTTCACAGTGGCTCCAGATGCAAAGCAAACCAGGACACTCCTTTGCTTTTGTACTTTTCTGTAATTTCTCATCAAGCTAGTCAAAGAGAAGATGAGAAGCACAGAGCCAGCATGTTAACTGACTGCTGGGTCCCACCCTGGTCAGACTGACATCTTAACCTTGGCCAGGAGTTGGGACCTCTGCTGTTCTCCTACTCAGTATAAAATTGTTTCCTACCTGACTGTAATTTAAAGAAAGTAGTTCTATTTCAAGGGGGACAAAATTACTGTCTGCTTCCTGCTTTGCTTTAAAAGCAGAGAGAGTTTGAGACTCAAATCTGGACCCTTTATGATAGAATATCAGGCAAGTCATAAATATTCCGGAGGGCCAATTATTATAAGCCAGGACTGTGATATTTCCTTAAAGCTCTGCCCCAAGAGTCTTCTGATTGCCTGAAAAAAATCTCACCTTATATTTTGAGAAAGATGAAGAAAAAAAAGAGGATTGTATTTCTCATTACATCACAAATCAGAAAAAATACCTGGGTGTACTTTGAAGAGTTAGAAATAAAATACTGCATTTCTATAGCTGCTATTAATGTTAGCGTATTACTGTCATTAATCTCCTGCAAGTCAGCAGAGGTGTTACAGGTTCCCAGATGATTTGTTGCAGCTGGCATTAGTATGTCCGTACATTTTTCCTCCGACTTTCTGAATTTCCTTCTGATTTTCATATACAGCTGAAATTACCGTCTCTTCAAAAACTCTTTATTTGAATCTGGGCTGAGACACGAGCTTCTCTTGCTTTTCTTACCAGAATAACAGTGCTATGGGGAGGTAGTATATTTCTCAGCCCTGCAGAGTAGTTATTTTTAAAATAACACACATGAAATAACTTTAGGATTTTTTTTTTCGGTTCACAGATTACTTGGGTAGCTGCTTATTTTCTAAAAAGCATCTTCTTTCCTGGAAGGGTGTAGGTCAGTGCTTGTATCAAAATATAATGCATCTTTTTAAATTTGCATTTATCTAACTTTTTGAAAAGCCGGCCAAATCATTTAAAATAGGCAATGCCATTTGCAGCAGCCATTTCACACCTCATGTGCCAGCCTTTGTGCCACTGCCAGCCCATGCTCCCTGCTTATTAGTATTGATTAAACACCCCTGCTTGAAAACTGGCCATCTCCCAGAGGCAGAAGGACATGTTTTGCTCACATTGAATGAATAGTATTTTAGCAGCAAAGCTAAAATGCTATTATGGACTGTGGTCCCTACAACATCTGCACTGGGCAGTATTGGCACCTGTTTGCATATGCATGGTCATTTCGGGAAGCAGAATAAAATAAATCTATCTGCTTCACCTAAGCCACTTCTTGTGACCTTAAAACATTGGTGGAGCTGATGATGGACCTTAAACCAAATGCTGCTCTGAAGCTGGATGCTGCATGGCTCTAGGTCTTACTCTCATCAGCACATAAATCCCTTAATTGCACTTTCTGTCCCACAAATTACTGCCACCTCTTTCCAATACACGGCTGTGTGTACTTTTCATTCTCCACTAATGGTGACACATGTGAATTTAATGCATCTGGACAGCTGAGCCCTCATATGCTCTTCTCTTCCCAGCACCCTGCATTTGGCAGAAAATCAGTCCCTTTTTCCCTCTTGCTGTGGGATACTTGAGGCTCTGGCCCCTTGCTCTGAAGGGGGGGACTGTAACCTAACACCCACCCCATGCTTCCCAGCTGTGTCTCCAGCCTGGGACCTTTCAGGCCTTACACAGATGTTCACTATTAGATGTTTTCTCAGCCAAAGAACGGTGGCAGATGATTTATTTTAAACAGATCTGATCTTTAACTTGAAAGTCCATGCTGAAAAATGCTCTGCTCCTCTAGAGCTGGCGTTTCAACAAAGCGATGGCTGAAGGGACAGGGTTACCTCAAAAAGCCAGACGAGAAGGACAACGGCGCCCATGGAGGTCATCATGCTGCTATAGTAGTGCAGGAGGGCTTCCCGGCAGCCGCGGCGCCAGAGGTTGAGCTCCTCCGTTTGGTAGTCGTAGCTGTAGTGAGCTGAGTTGTTGGTGACCTGGTACTGGATGCAGGGTCTTGGGGAGCTGGGGTTGCAACAGCTGAAAGGGACACCATCCACCAAGTACCTTCCGTCCACGTTGCTTTTGATCCGACTATGGGCAAGGAAAGAAGGAAGTGTAAATACACGCACACACATATAAAAATATACTGAAGCAATTTTGCACAAGAAAGGAAAGCAAAGGCAACATGGATTTTCCACCACACCTCCTGGCCATTTCTCCGTGTCCCCTGTTCATATAGCGGCATTCGTCCCAGGTGTTTTTATTTGAAATCTTTTTCCATGTCAAGGCTACACCAAGTCTATAATTAACTCTTCATGATGGAAATGCACCCTCTTGAGTCACTTCTTCAAATAAATTAATTTTTAAAAAACCTAAATGGCAGAGAGAAATTTCAGGAGGGGTAGCCGGAAAAGAGTGATCACAGCATAGTTAGGGTGGAAGGGAGGTGTTGGAGGTGACCTGAGCTTGGAAAAGGACCCACAACAGCCTTAGGACCCACCGTATCCAGCTAAACCATTGATCCAGCAAACCCAACAGATTCTTTTTGATGATAATAGCTCCAGGAAGAGATTATCATTTATTCTTGGATTGGGAATGTAGCCAATGTTTAAAACATAAAATGTGCTTCATCACTGGGATGTTGAATAATGTCTGAATTTCTGAAGCTCCCAAACTATTGTTCGTTTGAGATTGTGGCTGTTCTCCATAAACAGCCATTTAGTGTGGTGCCTTATGACATGTTTAGATGAGAGATATTTAGAAGGGAAATATTTCCACTGACACTGCAAAAAAAGACTGTAATAAGAGGACTGCAATTCTGATAGGTGCCATTTTGCTTAGAAAATGACAGAATGGAGAGCTCCAGTGGTCTGGAAAGGTGAAAAAAATCTGAGAGTTGCTTGTAGCTTTCTATATTGATATTTTAAAGTTGTGTCATAGAGAGAGAGGTGATTGCAACAGCCTGGTGAAGTAAAATTCCACTTTGCAGTCATGACCTAAATATATCTAAATGTAAAGTTGAGATTTTATCTCTAGATGTAAAGTGTGCTCTGAGTTGGGTCAAATTCCTATTGATGTGTAAATGCTCCACCGGTTTCAGAGAGGCTGGATCAGACCTTCACTCTACAAAAAAATATAAAAATCGCATTGCAGGGGACAGACTCCCACCTTCCCTGGAATTAAGGCAAACTTTGCTGTTGACTTCAAAGGGGCCCAAATATCCCACCAGGAATGTGAGCAGAGATTGTGCACCACCATGTAGTTCAAACCTTGAATTCACTCATTAACGTCCATTTGTGGATTTTTAATGCCCTATTTCCTGCCTCAGTTGTACTAAGAAATTGCCCTGAGTCTCAGCCCCAGACAAGACGTCGTTTATTAAGGACAATATAACCTTGTTTTCCCTCTGTGCTTTGCCCTTCCACTGCTGCTGGATTAAGTTACAGCTCTCAAATCTCCATATAATGCTGGAAAGGTGAACCTATTATGTTTTCAAGTAGTTATTTATACCCATGGGCATACCTTCATAATGCAAATACTCCCTTATTAAATAGCGAATATATTTGTCATAACTCTGCAGTGCAATAGGTTAAGCTTGTAACAGTTTTCACTGTAAAGTCCTAGTTCAAAATTGCAAAAACCACCAGATCACCCAACAAGTAAAAACAATATGTGTAGAGAGACACAAGTGAAATACCATTTACACAGCCAAGCAGGGATCCCAAGAGATACACAAAGCTTTTTGCAAAATTACTTCAGACATTTTTAACATAGGCAGTATATTTAAAAGGCAGATTGCTTCCAGTTTACAAGACCTTTTGGGCAACCACACAGTATGAACGTTAGCGAGTGATGTTCCCAAAGAACTCTGAATAATTATATCTTCCCCTGGTACTTAATTTTTTTAAAAGGTTGTAGATATTTATGCTCAATGCTAATTTTTTTAATTTCAAAAATTCATTTGTTCTCATGTTTATTTTTTACTTGCGCTTACTGCACCTAACCTGATTTTGAGATTACTGCTTCTTTGGGCACTGACATCAGAGCCATTAAGGTGTTTCTGGCCAACAATCTGCTCTGCTTTGTAGAGTTGGAATCAGTGCTGTTCTCATGTGAGGTTTAAAAACATTAGGCACAAGTATATATGAACATGTTTTTATACAGGAGAGGATTTAAAATGCATTTGGCTACAAGGGACACTATGTGAAGCTAGGAATGTCAATGGGTGTTGATTGTCAGAGTACTGAAGCAATCCATTGAGGGAATATAAAAATACAATTCTAAATCTTAAGGGGTTAAAACACTAACACATAACTAACATGAGTTATTAGTAAAGCATTACTATTTCTATTTGTTTCCATTAGACTGATTAATTGCCAGTATCTAAAGTGGAGTTTTAAAACTGGTATGAACAGTATATATCCAAGCAAGTCTTTTTTAGGAACTTAATAACTTGCATTGCATTGCAATCTGCTTTAGGAATAGTGATGTTCTGATACTTACCTGTTAATTTTGGGAATAGGCATGTGTGGCTCAACATAATGGGTTTATAAGGAGGTAAAAGACAGTAAAAAATATTATTTTAAGTCTGTTTACATCGCACTGAGTGAGAATTGTATTTTGGTGCTTTATATTTTATGTTCTGGATAACAATAGAGGAATTTGTCAGGGGAGGAAGCAATCTAGTTAATCATTTGGGATGCTTACTAATCAAGAGTAGAGAAAAAAAACATCTTATACAAAACCCTCTCCAGTCGGTGCCTGTTGTGATGTACGTTTCTCTAGTATAATACCAAAATAATGATACTACACAATACAAACCCACTAAGTCACTTACTCTTTCACTTCCTTGGAGCTGAAGTCCAGATATCTGTTGCTGATCCATTGAATTTCGAACCAATCTTTGAAGCCATTGTTCCCACAGCATTTGAACTCAATTTGGAGCATGTCAATGGTCTTCTTCATGAAGCATCTTCCGGGGGTGTCTGTGTCCCGGTAGAACTTCATGCTGTTCTTGAGCCCCTGAGCCAGTGTGCTCTCCAGATTGCCCCGCATGAGAAAGCAAATCAGAGCAACGAAGAAAATGAGAATGTTAAAGAGGAAACACAATGCCAGATAAGGTTTCAGCAAAGGCTTCCACTTGGCAAATTTAGCGGGATCCAGAGAATCATAACAAATTTTGCCAGCAAAACCATTGAAGGCGCAGGATAATATACCCATCAATATCAAAGAATTGGGCACAAAGTGGCTTTCAGAATTGTCCATCACTTCGCTTCGCTTACGGAGTTCAATTTTGAGGAACAAACCCATGCTAAAAACAAGGATTCCAGCAAACACTGAAAGCCAGTTCATGAGCCATAGTCCCTGTGCTAGTTTTACTCGTTTCTTCTGACTGAATTTGATTTTCAGCAGTGCCATCTTCGTAATGTGAGATGCCGGAAGATTTTGCAGCCTCTACCCCTCTTCTCGGTGCAAGTGACTTGAGGAAAAACCATTCAGGCGTTGGCAGAGACCCCGAATGGCACGGCTGAAAGCAAGCCACTGCACGGTCCGTCCATCTTGAGCTTCCCCAGTTAGTATTCGAGCAAGTAAAATATTCAAATATCCCAATTAACAATTTCACATTAATGAGAATAATGGGCAATTAGCATCTACAACTATTTCTGGTGGTTCTTTCCAAGCAAAGGAGAAACAGACTCAAGGTTTCGAATGGTTTGATCTGGATCTGCATGACGCCATTCTAATACCTTTAATCATTTGATCCAATTTGAAGAAATGTCTGTCAAGAGATGAGTGGAAATAATCCCTCATTTTACTATTTAGTAGATTTGTGCTTTCTTATGATAGGCTGCCGGGCAGAATATGAAATCCCAGAGAGATAAAAAGATATTTGTTGCCAGAAGAATATAGCTCCTTTGAGGAAAAAGGAAGAGGGCTCCAAGATTAAAAAAGGCTGCTTGAATACAGATATATACCTCCCCCTACAAGACCCTGATTTATTCATATGTACAGCCAAAACCACCTTTCTAGTCCTTATCCTTCTGTGTTGACCTGGGATGCCATTCTGTGGCTTATGTGTTCTGGAAGTAGATAAGTGTGTGGTTTACAGTGACCTAAAAAACCTAAGCTTGGTATTTTCTATTTACTTCCAGGGCTTGTACCATCTCTTGGCCTTGGCAGGAGGAAAGGAGAAAGGAAAAGTTCAGAGAAACTCAATAAATAAACCCAGGGCTGAAATCTAGAGATGCTTTTATAAAAAGTGAGCCGACATGAGCAGCTTACTGGATAATCACTGGGCCAGGGAGGGGAGAAGGGCTGCCCAAGCTGACCCAGGAGCTTACACCGGGGAGGAATTTGGCCCAACAGCTGGGGAGGGACCCTCGGGCTGTTGTCACTAGCCAGTGCAAGGGTGGCACCCCCGGAGTCCTGGGGGTCTGCTGAGGGACCTGCAGCCTGGCTCTGCTTTCACACTGTAGCGGGCAGAAAAGGAGGGGTGCTGCCCCTCCGGCAGAGGCCTTCCTCCTTATGCCGCACAGCCATTTCAGCCAAGCATGGATGCTGGGCTTTTGCTCTTCCTAGTGCTTTAGGAGTTTTACTCACTTTGAAATATCACCTCCTGCTCACCCCTCGCCCTGCAGACGTTCAGAGCTATTGGGAACGTCCTGCGCTGGCTCATCACCTGCTGCAGAAACGCAAAATTAGCCCCAGGCAACCTCAAGCAACGCAAAATTAATTCTGCAGGTGTGTGAGAGCTTGGGTGCTAACACTGCAGGTGAGAAAGAGCAGCCCCAGGAGAGGGACTGGGGGGGCTTTGCCTTGACCCAAGCCAACCCGACTTGCTGCCACCCGAGTGCATCCTCTAGTGGTTGCCAGCAGCATGGAGCACCAACCCCCAGGGAATGGTGAAGGAACCTGCCCAGGAGGAAGGCAAGTGTGAAAACTAATTATTATAATTAAAAAAAAAAAATGCACTGAAACCCATCATTTTGGTAGTGGGGTGCTGTAGATGCTGCTCAGTTACTGCTTGAGATCCTGGGACACCAGAGATCTTTTCAGGAAGGACAAAGGCTATCAAGCTGCTACTTTTTCTGGTGCTAATAGAAGGGTTTTGCCGTGGACCTTTCCCGGCCCATCTGGGTGCTATCACAGTGACCTGGAGAGCATCTGGTAACTGGTGTTTTCCTAAAATAGGCCTGATTTGTTCGCATTGCTTCTGCCCTTGCAGGTGGAGGGTGAGCATGCAAGAGGAAAGGAGAAAGGCAATCATCCATCAGGGGGCTACTCTCTGCTTGCCATGAAATGGATGAAAAGTGCTATATTGTGGAAAAAACCTGTTAAATACTTTTGTGTGATAAGCCACAGCACTGAAATAATATCCCTCCTGGCCTCTTGGCAAAATAGCCCACAACCATCCTGCAAACATTACTATGTTTTACTGACTCCTCCAGGGCTCAACTAGGAAATATAAGATAGTCTAGGGGGTGTATTTATCTGACAGCTTTAAGTTAATTCTAGATAAACGAACCTGCAACTACTTCCTTTCTTGTCAGTGCTGACAGAGCAAAACTCTAGTTAAAGTGGAAAAGAATTTTATATTGGGTCTGTGGATCATGAAGATATACAGTGATGTATATAGTGCAGTTAATAGGACAAGAAATAGTAAACCTGCCTATGGCAGATGTAAGCCTGGTGCTGCTCTGGATATTGGGAAACTTACATTCAGGAGCACAGATGATGGTCTGAATACCCATTACCTTAATTAGTATTCAGACGACGGCAATAAATCTGATGCAGCAAACCCATGCCATTGTATACACTGCAGTGTTTCCTGTTAATTCGGGAATAAAAATAGTGAAATAGAACATGCAGCGTATGCTTCCACTGATCCACTTAAATAAAGGTAACAGGAGGGGTCCTAATAAACCACTCCCAAATACTTAATGCTTTCTAGGAGATGATCAGTGAAGGCACACTCAGATACTAATTAGACCAGGAAGACTTCAGGTAATACCTTTCAGCTGAGAGAGCAATCAACATAACCAAAAAACCACAGAGCAGTAAATTTGCTGTGTTTATTTCAATAGTTTCAGTAGTTCACTACCAGCTGGGGACTTGGAGTTGCACAAACTACCCACCTATCAAGTCAGCTCACCAATGCTTGGAAAGTTTAAAGGGGGTTGGTGACATTAAATCATAGGCTATGATTCAAAAAATGAAGTTAGTACTTTCTAAAGTGGGATGTTAATGCTTCCCAGTTATCTCAGACACAGAGGTGATGAGCCCTGTGCAAGCTTCAGCACAAACTGATCACCTGAGGGCTGTCTCAAGCAGAGTAAGCTAAGGAAGAGCAAGGTTATAGGGGATCATTGAGAAGTGCTTTGGAGTGTGGACAGCGCAAAAAAGAAAACTGTTTTTGCCTGGCATCTGCATTTCTTACAGATCTATTTTGGCTGGGATTTGACTTTAATTGGGCAGATTTACTACTGCTTTCTACTTCAAATAGAAAATATTGAAACTGATCCATAGCAGACAAAAGCTAATTGCAGCAAGGATGTTTGAATTAATGGTCTCAGAGTTTACACATTAACTCAAATGTAAAATTCATGTGCCATTTTAGAGGAAAAAAAAAAAAAAAGTTAGAATAAAATACTCAGATGGTTACTGATCTGCTCAAACTCATCACGAATGTGTTCAAATTCAAAATACTGCTAAAAAATTATATTTTCTAATGATGACAATACAATATTGATACCTTTCCAAAAAGCTCTGCCTGCTAACCTAAATATAAGCCAAAAACTTATCAGTTAATGTTGAAAGGGAGGAAAAAGTTGTTTTTAATGCTGATAGCTCAATCTGGTATTTGGTATACAGTCTGCTGCCCAGTCCTGGAATAACCATGCTATTTCCACCTTCAGGAATATGAGATATAAAAGGCAAATTCCTTTTATATAGGTATATCCTATGTGCCTAAACTATGGAAGTGCTCTTAGTTGGTTAAAAAAAAAATAAATTTCCAGGCCCAATCTTTCTTTAACACTGCTCTGTGATACAAAACATGTGGTTTTCTCAGGTTCTTTTTTCTTTTCTTTCGCTAGAAGTCGTTAGGTTTCATTGCAAGGATGAAGATGTCTGGTTTTACCTATGAAAGGAAGTTATTATGTGGAGATACGAGGTTTGTTTATGTACTGTAGTTTATTGTTTGAGTTTATTGTTTGGCTTGCACTTATAACTCTGTGGTGTGTACAGGGACACTCCTGAGGAACAACGTGATAAAATGGCTGTACCACACTGTATGATTAACAGCTGGAGAAAAGTCTGATTTATGACTTTTTTTTTTTTTTTTTTTCCTCCAGTGTACACTAGTGACTTGGTAGGCTACTATTTCTGTGGCATGTAAAGTGACTACAGGTTCTGAAGCTGAAAACAGAGGCAAGATGCTAAATTCGCTGCTGGAGCTGTTATACACTCTAGGAAGGGCGATTTGATCTGCTGGATCCTGTGGCATCTAAACTATGCTGGGGCACACTGGGGGGGGTTTAGTGTCATCTTGCTCTGGGTCATTCCCAGCATTTCAGCCATCCTTATCCACAGTGTGGGTGTGTTCAGAAAGTACAGTTTTCCTTTGACCCCCAAGATGCTCATTATGAGTATTTATTTGTATTACTGATGCCTAGGGTGTAGTGTTCACTGCTGAAAGAAGAGGAGTTCTAAATCAATGTTTGTACTTGCAGAAACAGAATAGAAATATGTTGGGAATTGAAAGAAGCTTACAAAAGGCTCACAATAGTCATTACTGCTGGAAAACATCTCAGCACAACAGATGGACCCTCAAGCAAGTCAGATAAATCAGATCACGATGTGAATGGAAATGCTGCAATTCCACAAGTTGCACAGACTTTTTTTTTTTTTTTGGTATTCATATCTTTCCTTGTATGTGATGAAATTGGCTTTTTAGTACAGTACAGGCTGTGAGCTCTCTTGTGCAGATCCAGTGGCTGTAACAGGAAAGCTGCATAGAAAAAAGCAGCACAATCATAGGGGTGGGGGAGAGCCTGATGGAAAGTGGGAAGTAAGGGCACAGGGCTGAGCAGCAAAAGGGTGATGCGTAAAGGAGGTAAAGAAATGTATTTGTCTGTACACAGTTCTCAAATACAAGTCTGCCCTCAGATGCCACTCATATGCTGGAAGAAATCCACTTGGAAAGAAGTAGGATGCATATTGAGGGTGGGTTGGGGGGAAGGGTTGTATATTCACAAAAAAATCATTCCACTAAAGAATTTCTAAGTATTTTTTAACACCTGAAACAATTACCTGGAGGTAAAGCCACTAAGATTTGATCCTTGTCTACACAGAGCTATTGCTTAAATAGGAAGAAGCTTTAAAAAAACCATAAATCCCAGCCTTCAAAATACAATGCTTAAAAATGTGTAAGAAAATGTCTTATGCACTTATTTCTTACCTGTTTTTCACACTATTTTGTTAAGAGTCCACACCTGGATCTATTTAAATGAAAGAGGACTGGATAAAAAGGGAGGATACCAATAATGCCATTTTTGTTCCTGGTATTCAGAGTAACATGGGCCGACAGCGGGAAATGCTGGTCTCTGTTGGGAACTGAGGGGTTTGGACAGACCTCCAGGTGAGATGATGGCCTCATGGGAAGCAGCAGCAAAGCTCTCCACTGCTTCTCTGGAGGCAAGCTTTGGTTCGTGCTGC